GCCCAGCTGTCCGAAACGTCAGCAAATCTTCAAATGTATTCCGGTGAGCAGACGGTGAATAATAGTACCGTATAACCTGCTTTTCCATCAGGTTCGCTAAATGCCGTTGTAGTCTCCCTACTAATCGCCCTTATTTCGTTCTTGTTCTGGTGTCTAAAGCGTGAGAAATTTGGGCACCACCTGCATTTCTGTCACTTTCGGTTTACGAACCACTGCATTACGAGTTATTTCGACTGACGAAACGTAGTCGATAGCGAGTCCAAACTGTATGAGCAAAGGTCGTGATGCTAGCACACCTACTACCGCAGGCTTCTGAGGGAGGCTAGGCATTTTTTTCTTGCATAATCACACAGACCCTATAGCCTCTGTGCATGAGTGTACTCATCTAGCATCAGATTTCGAAGAGTCATTGCGAGTCATTACCATTCGACGTATGACTTGGCAAATCCAAACTTACTGCTTTCCTCAGTTTCCGATGACTCATCTGACTTGTGCTTGTATGTAACTTGGTACTCTTATTGATTCACAATGCGTAGGAGTGATTGACTCAAAAGAGACCTCAGAAGATGACCTTGCCGAAATCTATAATGCTTGTCAATAGCTACTGACAACCTCAAGGGTCCTTTTGACGAACTTTCAGTAGGCAGTCTGGCCCAAGATATTTTTCGCGGACTACGCATAGTAAGGAATGCTTTTACTTACGCGTAGCTGTATTAGATAACAAGATAGGATAACCCTTTTACGATTTCTAAAATAAAACAAATATATTTCCGTATCTGCTCAGAAAGTGGCAAGATACCGACTTCTTTGTCTTCACAGTAATCTCTTCAGACGGATATTCCGCATTTTCCTGATTCTATTAGTAGCAAGCATCCTCAAATTTAACAGAAAGCCTCTGTGGTCTTGCCCCAGTTTCCCGGAATAATCATTTAAACCATATTTCTTCCAGTCTTTAGAATATTCACTGATCCAGTGAACAGATTTTGGAGACATTTTCCGCTACTCTTACTGCTAATAAGAATTTATTTACTTTCTTTGGACTTGCTTCAATTTACGCTACTGATTTGTCGTTGAATTTAGCTCACAGTATCTTCGAACATAAGATTTTCACATCGCCATCTGAATAGAGCGACAACTTTTGGGTCTTTCAGTTTCCATAGAATAACTAGAGCGCCAGCCATGATGAAGACCACTTCGTGGCCGTTAACTATTTCTATTTGAATTGAACCGGCAACGCGATTTCATCCCGCTTCTCCATTTACATAGAATACGTGGTTTGAATTTTTGTATAGAAAAAAATAACTGAAGGCGAGTCAAACTGCTTTGATACATGATAGTGAGCAGGCTTTTCTAGAAGTAGTATATGACATAGCTTAAAATAAGAAGCAAAGTTGGAAGTGGTGAGGTGAGCTCACACCGTTTCGGTGTAAAAGTTAGCTCTTTATACAAAATGAGGCATTTCTAAGTACCGAATGTTCAAGATTTCTAAAGGCTCGACCTATCATACCAACCTGGGATATCTTAAAATAATAAATATTTTTAGAAGGCGGACTGGTTCGAATTACTTCTACTGTTTCTGTCACCATAATTTATTCCACAAAATATACTAGGCTTTAAATGCCCTGGGAGTGCTGCAATACGTTTAGAGAGGCGTGATGACTAAGTGTAGGTTTGTAAGATGAAAGACCAGACTTACTGCCTGGCCTAAGCATACCTGCGAGATTCACAATTTTTTAAGTTACATAAACTATTTATTTTGGATTGTTGTCCTGCCATTCACTCAAAGGCAGTTCGGGCAACATACCAACTGCTGATTGTCTGTATAAACAACTATTGTTGACAAAAAGATTCGGAGGCACATAACATCCTATTCCGCCTATACCACTCAAAAAGGCCTAAGTGACCGTTTTGAAGTATTACAATCTGTGTGCGACCTTCAAATAGTTATGGCTCGACTGAAGTTAAGCCACTGTAGCGCCAGGGAATACAGTCCTTCATCTAAATACATGACTTTGACCTACCTCCTGACGCCATTGTAAATATACTTTTGTGTTCAAAGTATTCACTGTTCAACGCACCCCATACCTGATTACGTATCTAAGTCGGCGGCAAAATACAGTCAAGAGCTACGGCGAGAGCAATTCACCGGCCTTGCATGTAGGCCGGTGCTTACGCGTGCGTCGGCGCACTGTCGGCTGCATTAATATGTGCACAACAAATTTTCGGTGCCCCTTCCCCCACAGCTCCAGTAGAGGAACTCTTAGGAGAAGACCTCAACTCGATATCGTCACCGGAATGAGCTATTGACGACGGCTTCAGGGGACTGTGTCGACCGATACTCTTGACTGTGAATCTTTTTTCCTTTGGAGTAGTGGGTATCTAAGCCTAAACAACTGCTCTGACAGCATTTCCCTCGTATTCTACTCTGTAGAGTTGATTTTAGACGTTTACACAATGCACACAAGTTGGTGGGTTTCTTGGTGTTTTTCTTCACATGTGCTGAAATACGATTTGTAGTGCACGACACAAACAGGGCCTAATTTCATAGGATTCCCTTTAAGTAAATGCACTGTGCTAAAGAGATCAAGGTCCAGTACTTTTAAAAAATAGCACTTTCTTTTCTAAAATATTGATGAATTTTACTAAGCTTGGCGCTGCAGAACTTTCGATCCATTAATCATATAGAGAAGCCAGAACAGTGAATGATCATAACAACTATATAATACTAATTAAATTCTCCAAGACAAAAAGGACTTAACATCGAGAAGTATAAGCGGAAACCAAATTAACACATCTTTATTCCGCTCTGCCATCAAAGCAGATCGTCGAATATCAGTCCAAAGTCCGATGTGCACAATACGCATTAATCGAAACTGTTACACACACAAAGATTGATATGAACTTATAGGCTTTAAAGGGGTAAATGCGAAAAAAAACACTTCACGTATTTATTTTTTGACATAGATAGGATTCGAAATTATTCTCACTTGCAAAAACTTAAAAAATAGACATAAAATAGACATGTGTGTACCTCTTTCTATTTAGCTAGATTCTGAATTTCGAAAAACCACTCTTAACGCCCGTCTATTCAGTTTCCAGTATGATCAAGAAGCGCATAATGATTCAAATAATTCAAAGTATATTTTTCATCAGAAGTTTATTTCGATTACCCCTTTATGCAAGTCGTACTTCTACTGCTTATACTTAAAATTTTCAGGATTCAGCCATTAATTCATTTCTGACTCACTATGACGGGGAAATACTACTTTGCTTGTGGTCCTGAATTAAGTTATAGACATGGGCAAATAAAAGTTGACTTCATTTCAAGCCAAACTCAGGAGTCGTTTTCCACATTATGGAGCCTTTTAAACAAGAATAACCAAGTCAGTATTTTTTACTTAAATAAACACAAACGAAACTACGGTGCCAATCCAGGATAACGCTGAAAATTGTAGAATTGGAAAAGCGGGGCTATGTATTTCGTAAAAGCATGTCGTGTTAACTCGTTTTTCTTGAAGTTTTACGTTTTTTTGGGTATATATGCGTCCTCCATTATTTTTCTTTTTCCCATACCTTAAGGTTCGAGTCCGTGTCCAGGAAGCCCGGCAGCTCAGTGGAGCAAACATTTCCCCGCTGTGCAAAGTCAGTTGTGCAAATCAGACGCAGGTCACTTCTGTCAAACCGTCCACAAATTCGCCCTTTTGGGGCCAGACGTTTTTCTTCAACTTCCACCAATCGCCAGCCAAGCTGTTCGAGGAGACCCTCTGTTTTGGAGTCTATAACTCACGAAAGTTGCGTGCAGATGCCCATATCGGTACCTTTGAACTCGATCTGGCATCAGTCTTTGAAAGTCCAAACCACGCCATCATGCACAAATGGCTCTTGCTGGGCGAACCGGAGGATCCTCTTGCAGGGGCGAAGGGTTACCTCAAGGTCGCTATGGTTATTCTGGGTCCAGGCGATGAAGCACCCGTGAGTTACCGGACACTCCCGTTAAGCATATGCAACTTTATAGAATTCGTATATCACACTGAATCCAACCTCCAATCCGAGGGATACATAACTGTCCTGATCTCAAATAACAACGCAGAGGCTATTAGACGTTCTCTTTGAAGCAAGCGTTTACGCCAGCGTAGTGCATATCCTCAACGATTTAATACAAATACCTTTTTCCTTTTGCACATAACTGTACTTCTGTATAAAACTTATGGAGATGAATACGGATTTTCTCGTTGCAGAATTAAGAAATAAATACTTCTGACCAGAGAGTATGATGTAGAGAATGCGAATAACATAGCATGAAGGTGAAGAAAGTGCACAGTTTCCTAGTTAAGGTTAAGTCTTGGTCGATTGGGCCCCAACCTGCATGAAGACTCTTGATCCATCCCAATTTTTCTTCATTTTCAGAATCTTAAACCGAAGGATGAATCTGAAGACGAAGATATTGAAGCGTAAGCCACACTTACGAACTTTTAAACAACCATTTTGCCCTAGTTACTTGCCAGGTTTAAAGTTGGCATATTTTGAATTTGAGTACTGAACATGGAGTTCAAAGTGATGTGAATATTTCTGTCCGGTTGACAAAAGTCTGCATTCCTCTACTTATTCAAACGTGCTGCGTAAAATACAAGTAATAACTATGTAGCTTATACCCAGGAGACTTAAACTGACTTTTAAAGGTCTATCCATGTTACCTGGACACTACCCTATACTGACAACATAGGAATATGAGTAGTGCTTTTTTAAATCTAGATAAACGTCGACTGGAGCCTTATTTGCAGTGACGGACTTGGTTTAAAAATAAAACCTCCAGCTGTGGATGTATCCGAAAATCTTAAAGTTAACTTTCGGCCACTTAACTTTGCATAAGGAGGTTGATGTTTTGCCAGTGCTCTTCTTACTGGGCTTTCAACATTATCTATTCAATTGGTCAATACTAACAAATTTAATCAATTTGTTTTTTTTTCCATAATTAATCAAAATGCAGAAACATTCTGCGACCTGCTGGTGTACAACTGCGACCAGCCCTCTTTCATTTCTCACTGTTCAATGGAGAAGACTATCCCAGAAGTAAGTCTCAATTGCTATTCTTCGCAATAACTGTAACGAAACCCGTCGTCGAACTATTTTTCTATGGTCTGTATGTTATATACGAATGTCCGCACAAGTTTGCCGAGCTAGGAACAAATATAGTAGGAACTTCGCTGGGTTAAGCAGGTCCGTCCTCCTGTATTCTAATTTTTATTGAACAATGATTGCTCATTTGAAGTATATTTTTTCCACACAATTTTACATATAACGTCCGCATTCTATATAATACCTCACGTGCGGCTAACAAGTGGAATCAAAGGGAGTCTCCTTTTCCTGGCACATGGTATTATTTTTATGTGGCATGCATTTGCACACTGCTATCGTCGGCCAGCCCAGTCAGAGAACCGTGGGATCTTGGAAGCAAAGGCCATCGCCAAACTTGCAGAAACCCTTTGAGGTTTGGCGACCGAATTAAACGTTCTGCAACTGGAAACAAAAGAAGATAAAGCATAGGTCACCTCCACTTGAAATTTGAATTTATGCGTCAGGCTTACCCGTTTATTTTGATGAATTTTTACTCTACTAAACAAAGTCCACTTAGTATGCTCGAAAGCTTCTACCCATGCCTGTAACATTCTACGGATCAGTGAAGTCTAATAAATGTTTCGGCGCACTTTATGGGCATATTGCATGCCTCTGAGCAGCCCTAATAAAAGCAGGTTAGGTGTAAAAAATATACGCTCTAAATGACAACCCCCATCGGCAGTTTGTATGTTTTTTAAACATTTATTTGGCTGCATGGGATTTGGCCACGCCCAGGTCACGAGTATATTCGACCGAAAGGCATAAGACAATGGGAGAAATCTGTTGATATGCTTCGCAATGAAAACACTTTTAAGGGGAGCGAGTAAAAACTGATTGTGATGGGACACAATCCCGAGTCACTTTATGCATGTTATTTTACGGCATTTGACTGAGCAACATTCTCGCTATGCACATGTAGTGCATGTGACTAATGACGATTCTCGAAAAGTGCATATTTTCAATAGATTTCCAGAGCCTACATAAATTCTATAATAAATAAAATACCTGTCTGGTGTTTGCCTTCAAGTTTCGTTCTAGAACAGGTTTTTGAAGTTTACTGAAGTTGTTTACCCCCCTATGCAATATGAGATAGCAGCTTCATCTTCACTTGTCAAGGGGTCAAAATCGTATGCTACGCACTTCAGTTGAAGCGTGATCACATGGTCCAAAGGAGAGGCCTCCTTATGATGTTTGAACGCTGTGACGTATATTTATGATGCAGACATATAACTGATGAATATCTTTATCGAACATGATGTCTGCAGGCTAGAAAACGAACTTTGCCAGCTTGTCAGTAATATCGCTCTTGAAGCCTTTTTAAAAACGCACATTAACTCTTTCGTCGGTTTCAAAATTTTGGTTAATTTTAAGTCTCTATAAAATGATGACCCCTAATGTTTTATTGGCATCTTTTCTATGAAATAGGACTGCAGTTATTAATGCATATATGTTCCATGGAAAAAACTACTCCACTAGCTATATTTCGGAATATACGTTCAGAGTTGGCTGGAGACATCTAATTCAAAAACTGGCAATTAACCTCGCGTGAAGTAACTGGGATACTAGGCCAAAGTCCACACCTACATACGTTATTTTTTTTCAATCTCAAGTACATATGTGGGAGAGGTTGGGCCACTCTTTCACGAGTCTTGGTGGACGCGCTATTGGTTATGACGTATGAAGGCTACCCCTTTTATTAATCTGCTTCCTCTCAGAACGTATGGTTTTGCCAGTTGTAGGCATGTGGATGGCTGGATGTAACCTCGCTATAGCAAGCATTTTAGAAAAACTAAAACGTTCCTAAAAATATACTCCAGTCTCAGTGGCAGCCTTTTTCGAATCGGCAAATGCCATGCAATTTTACTAATATAAAAGATGTATGCAGAAAGGGAACTCCTAATCCATAGGCCAAATAAGCCTTCAAAGATTCTGGAGCTGCGATCTACGTTTACCATTAGCAGCCGTTGCCATTAATTGTAAACGTATGTCAGCTACCAGTGCATTAAACATATTTTAGAAGGTGGCTCCTCGTACTTTCGTCAAAATTGCAATCTGCTGTGTTCTTGACCGCTTTTTCACGCCCTTCTCTGTTGTTACACTTGGAAGAACGCGCTTCTGTCTGCAGAAGGCGGCCCTTCTTTTCTTTTCTCCCTTATTACTTATTCTCTCTCGCACTCGTTTTACACGTTTGATACCTTGGGTTAATCTTTTGTAGTAACCACCTAGTCTTTATGATTCTACCGAATATGGCTAAACGTTCTATTAAAGATATCCGCCCACCCTGCACTATGCCGGAGCCTTTGGACGCTGTATTTCGGCTCCTGAGCTTTTGTCTGAAAAAGATCATTGCTTTAGACAGACTGTATACTAAATAAAACCAACACTGGCTACTCTGATTAAAATATTTAAAGAGTAGCGCTGCTATTTATTTGAAAATAATGTTATTAAGTGGGTCCAACCTCCAGCTCTTGCTCTGATGCATGAGAAGGCTTAACTTTAACGAGAGAACGCCTCTATCAGTACGATAGTGCGCTTACTCAAACCAATCACTTCTTGAACTCATCCTTATGAAAAGTTTGGCTACTTATATGTAAAGTTTTTGGTCCGCCTTGTTAAACATAATATTTTCGGTGCAGGCTATCGTACCCAAACCGAGAAAGCTACATTTGCCAGTGTATATAAACATTTGTTAGAGGCGAGGAGACGAGACCTGTTATCCTAAGTTATCATACGTACATTGGACGCGGAACAGGTACAAGGCAAAACCTCATATTGTTAGCGCCTACCCAAAAAATACAGGCGCGAATGCTTCAGGGCAGTGGAAAAGTCGGTGGGCATGTTGATTTCGATGT